AATCATCTTCGAGACTGCTGCTCGCAGTTGATGCAGAAGATCTTGCGCATGTCAAGAGAAATCGTATATAGGAGAAGCCCCTTCGTGCTGTCATGTAGAAAGGGGCCTGAATAAGTACCTATATGTACTAGTTTTTTGGGGGGATCCTTATTATAAGCATAGTATGATATGCCCCAAAGCCCAATTCTAATTCTTTTATGAGGCCCCTACTTGATTTGATGTTCCCCTATACAGTAGCTAGAGTCTCTGGAGTTCCCTGGGCTTTTGATGCAAGGTTTTCGGGCGGTAGGATTTTGCTTTACAGACTCACTGGGGCACTACCTCATAAACGGTTGAGGGTTTAGGGTGAGGGTTGAGGTCATAGCTTGCAAACCATTTCAGTTTGTGGTTTTCCCGAAGTTTATGCCTGAGCATCAACCAAGAGCCTGTTTCTGAGGAGATACTGGGAGATGAGGACAAGCGCGCCGTCTTCGTCACTTGGCGTCTCAACAAGGAGTAGGTCCTGTACCGGGCAATCGCGGTACGGCCCGGCAATTGCTCTCATTTGCTATACCCTTATAACTTACCTCTCGCCGACGTACTTAGTCCAACGTTCCTCTAAGTTGCCTCTAAGTAGACGAAAACCCGAGCAGCTGAATCCTCAGTGCAAAAATCCGAAATCCAAATCCCCTTTGTTTCAAAAGCTAAGCCGTAGCCTGCAGTGATGGGCACGGAGGACGCCTTAACACAAGCTGGAAATGTTCTCGTACCAACGTCCTACAAGCAAAGTACAAGTAAGCTAACCCTAAGGGTCCATGTATCCAAATAACATATACTTTGGCCTTAATGTAGTCCACATATAGGTACTTTGGGGGCAATGTATATACTATTTAGGTACATGGACCCTCGGGCTAATAGAAAGCAGCAGACTTGTTAAACAAAAGAGTGAAAGTCTTCGGAGCGAGGATGCAGCGGGGCTGCACATGCTGTTTCAGTCGGCTGCTAACAAGGTGGAGAAGGCGGGCTTTCCGGGTTCATATAGGTTAGGTCGACTATACGTAAGGCTTCTATGATCTCCGGGCCGAAGAATTTGGAATTGGGTGTGGGGGTATATTATACTCATGCGGCACATATTAATATAGTCAAGAACCGTAAGGAATGCTAAGGAATGCCATGACTACTTATTTCGACCCCTATCCCATAGTGGCGTTGGGTTGCGGGGCGTTCATAGTACTTTCACGATTTCGCATCTGGTGGCTTTGGTCTTGGTTGGGGTATCCAGGGTTAGGGATTTTGGATTTGGGAGTTTAGGGTTTGGGCTGTCAGGTGTGTGGACTTAGAGTTCAGGGTTTGGGTGGTGCGCGTTTTGGGAACCGTGGGCACCAAAGAGCCCAGCCAGTGGTATTTGTAGACTTCGGACCCCAAGCTCAGCTGTTGCACCTAGCCTAACGCTAAGGCTCAAAATAGCCCACAAAAAACCCTACAAAGTGTGGTCTTTGGGCCCGAAAGCCTTAGAATATGCGTCCTTAGAGCCTTAGGGTAAGGAACTAATCCCCCAGGTCCTTGCATTTGGAGTTGCAGCGAGGAAGAAGTGTGACGTCATGAAGTGCAGTGCATCTGCATAGCCAGACCTGGGATCTACTTGTAGGCCGAAAACAGGAAAATCCTTCAAGGAACCGTTGAACTAAAGAAAGCCATTGAAGGAACCTCAAGGGAGCCGTTGAAGAAATCCCTACGAACAATTTGTAAGAACCCTCAACCCTACAACCCTGAAACTAAACCCTAAACACAAGATGATTGTTGTAATGCCCTCCACCTCGAACTCCGCTACCCCTTACCCCTTGACCATAAACCCTTCACACCTTATAACCAGAACTAGGAACACCCTCAAGCGCCTTTTTCGGGGGTTTGGGGCCTTAGACCCTAAACCCTAGACCCTACACCCCAAACCCTAAACCCTATAAGCCCCAGACCCTAAACTCTGAACCCGGAAGCCCGTTAGAATCACTAGGGCCCGGCGACCAACTCGGAAGTCAGTGTGACCCTCGAGCAGCTCTACAACGGCCAGGACCGCCTCTGAGAGGGCCTAGGCTTATTTAGCTCAGGGTTTAGGGCTTAGGGCTTTGGGTTTAGGGCTTTGGATTTAGGGCTTAGGGTTTAGGGTTTAGGGTTTTGGGGGGCTCCTTCTTACAACTATAGTATAAGATGATACCCTAGCTAGGGCTTTGGGTTTAGGGCTCTGGGTTCAGGGCTTAGGGTTTAGGGCTTTGGGTTTTGTGTTCCGGGCTCTGAGCCAGAAGTGTACAGTTTCGGGCTTTATACACCCTAACCAGCCCCAAGCCCTAAACTCCTAAGGTTGGAGTTTAGGTTTCAGAGCTCATGTTTTATACTTAAACCCTAAACCCCTAAACCCTAAACCCCTAAACCCTAAACCCTAAACCCGGGCAAGTTTGTGTTTGCTATTTTTCCTGTTTTCAGTTTGGGACTTGCGACTTTCAGCTTGAGCCTTCAGGTCTATGTTGGGCCGCCATCTTTGGTGTATCTGTGTAGCGTGGGTGCGTATGCCCGACCTAGCTTTACATTATATATATATATATATATATATATATGCGTATGAGTTGCGTACTTATGAGGTACTCATCTATAACAAAGCCCGTTTTCAGATATGTCTTGTTTAATGTTCCATGTATATACATTCATGTGCATGCATGCATGCATGCATGCATGCATGTGTACTCACACACCAAGGACACAGGCATGACCAGCACTTCCCGGCAACCTGTATAGTTCCATGCAAACCTTAAGTGACACAGTACGCAGGCGTATGCAACCTGAAGCTTAAATTCAAACTGCCCTTGGTGGCATGTCAGATGGGTTCGACAAGAACGAGACTCGTCACTCAGGTGGCAGAGCTCCCCGCTTTTCGCAGCCGATGGCAGCTTCAAACAGCTACACTCATGACGTTGGCATGTCAGATGGGTTCGACAAGGACGAGATTCGGAACTGAGGTGGCAGAGCTCCCCGGTGGCAGTTTCAAACAACCAACTTACGACGATGGTGATTCACGCCACGATCTGTGAGATGCGGGCGCACAGTTGTGTTGTTGTCTTCGCGCATGTGTGGGGCCACTAGCGCAAGAGTCTTAGTGAGAAGGGGAGCCACGGAATGAGCAAGCGAGAGATGGAGGGGGAGAGGAAGAGATGACTAGTTACATAGATCATCAAGTTCTCAAAGAGAGACAGAGAGAGGGAGGCAGGGAGAGAGAGAGAGAGATACATACGTACATGAATGCCCAATGATTCAATACAAACATAGGGAAACAAAATCACGGCACGCCTACCTATCTATGGATCTATCGACCTATCTACCGACCTATCTATCTACCTACCTGTCTATCTATCTACCTACCTATCTACCTACCTATCTATCTATCTACCTATCTATCGATCGATCTATCTCTATCTATCTATCTGTCTATCTATCTATCTATCTATCTATCTGTCTATTCATCTTTGTAATTACGACCAATCGATCTAGAGTTCTGTTTATCCACCTCTCTATCTATGTACCTATCTATTTATCTATCTGTCTCTCTGTCTCTCTCTATCTCTCTATCTCTCTATCTATCTATCTATCTACCAATCGATCTGGAATTCTATCTATCTATCTATTTATCTATGTGCCTGTTCATATATGTATATATACATACATATACCGATAGACATTCACATCTGTTTTATCCGCATTACGGACATTTATGTTCAGGCGGAACTGCTTTTTGGGCTCAGACAGATTCCTACGGTGTCAATTAGAGGTAGGGTTTAGGGTTTAGGGCTGCGTGGAGTTCAGACCTTTTTCCGGACAAGCACAGCCGTACACGTCCTTCAGTTGTGGCTTCTATGGGTACGATTGGAGTTCTATGGCCTCGTTATTGATCTTCACATGGAGCAATGGTTTCATGATGCGTATTGTAATGATCTTCACGCCTTCCACGAACTTGCGTTTACTCAGTTTTCATTCGTAGTTTTGAGTACGATAATTCCTCACAGCTGGGCTGTCCAACTGCATGGCTTGTCATGAGTACATGTTGTGCGGGGTTGTGCAGTCATGAGTGCTGCACTGCTTCACGGCGACGGCAGTTCCGGGCGAGAGAAGCCTGCTGCAAAAGGGCTGAGGGTCTTCAGCATTAGTGAGTGCAGCCTGCATCTTGCAGATACATCGCGTTGTGTCGTGCCCTCTGTTTTCAAGTGGCTCGTGCTTTGGCGATTGTGTTTCCAAAGTTAGTACGCCACGTCCGCAACTTCGAGACTGGGATGGTGCTCACCATTTTGAATGGGCATTGTTGTTGTTGTTGTTGTTGTTGTTGTTGTTGGTTGTTGGTTGTTGGTTGTTGGTTGTTGGTTGTTGTTGCTGCTGCTGCTGCTGTTGTTGTTGTTGTTGTTGCTGCTGTTACTGTGGCTTTGCCGGTTCAGGGTGGTTTCGAGGGGAGCTGCCAAAGCACCAAGAAATGGACGGCCGGAGGGCTTCAATCAGATCTGTCCGGTTTAATGTGTGAGGGGGGGTGATCCACCGGGTCGGCTATAGCTTTCGTTCTATAAGCACGCAAATGTTGAAAAGGCAAGACCACACAAAAGATTTCAAGACCACCTGCGTGTCAGAAGCATCATTTGTCTTGCGGCTGCTGCCTGGGCCACTGCACAAGGGGTTCTTCCAAGTAGATCCGCAGACGGAAGTAATGGGCAAAGCTTCGGTGGGTTTGGGCAGCCAGAAGCTAGTCTGGCTGAAACATAAACAAACCATGAAGACTACAAACTTAAAGCGAATGAAAGTTTGGGCATGGAAGCTAGAAGCCACGTCGCTGCCAAGGCATGGACCAAATCGGCAGAGATGGGGGGCCTTGCTACTTACAGGGCTGGCACGATAGTTGAGGGGCTGCAGCTTTTCGTGAGGCAATTGTCGGCATCATATATACCCGAAACACGGCAGTTGTACCCTTGTGAATACCCCGATCCCGCGGAAAGGTTGATCGGCCCGGCGGGCGGCATGTCGCGACTCCGCAGTATCACGATGCGCAACTCGGTGAGTTAAAGGTAGGTTGTTTGGGAGGCTTTCTTCCTGACCCTAAATGTCCCAGATCCTATGCACCGTTCTCTCAGCCCTAAGAATCCGGGCCGAGGTATCACAAGTCACCTCACGAGGCTGCGCTACAGAGGTCAAAGGAGCATGGCACCAGGCACCGTCTAGGCTTCAGGTTTTGGGCTTCATCCGGGACTAGGTTGCAGGACGATGGGGGCCGAGCCTCTGTCCTGAAGTCCATCCGTGGAGCCTACAGTATTGAGCCGCGCGCTTCAGGGCTGCATGCGGGTATTTCAGGGTTATTCTTAGAATATTTAGCAGTCAGGATGGCTAAGGCATTTCCTCCACCAGAACAGACCTGACAATGAGACAGGTCCTGAAACCGCGAGGTCGCGAAATCGCGAGATCGCGAGGTGAGGCTGCGAGGCGGCGAGGTCAGGTGCGGTCTCACCCTTGCGTAACCATGGCATCCGCCCCTCCCTCGCACCCCCCCAAGCCACCATGAATTCATGTATGTACTTATCTGATTATGTACTCCTTAGTCTAAAAACTGTTCCTGCGCTGGGGGTTCTCTCTAGGTAGCTTGGCCATTGTGTGACTTGCACGTTCTGTTTACAGCTTTTAAGCTGTTTCTCGAATATTCCCATAGATGACTCAGGATGTGTCCGGCATGCAACTGTGTGGGAGCTAGGATTAGGGGGACTCTTGGGGATATAGACCCTCGCAAGAAGGTCCCTTTCAAGAGAGCCAAAAGTAGGCTTCAGAAGGGGTACCCTTTAAGGGGTACCCATAATAATACTACCTACTGTGAAGTCCCAATCGGCTTCAGAGATGCAACAGACCGCCCAGACTTCACGGGGCATGTCAGTAAAGCCAAACGTAATCCACGTCCCTAAACCCTAAACCCTACACCCTAAACCCTAAAGCCTAAGTCCTAAACACAAAGCAGTCCTAAAGAGCTCCAGCTGAGCGGTTCTACAGATTCTACAGGCTTTGGTCCTCTTGAATACTATAGACTATGGAATCAAAATTTAAGCCCCAATAAGCCAAAAAACTACAGAATCAAACCTTAAACCCCAATAAGCCTCACATTGAAATGATATCGGGTCTGTTTCGGGCTCGAAGTGGAATCGCCTTGTTCTCTCTAACATGCTATGTCGGGCTTATTCCCCAAAACCGTGTGGGAGCACCACGGGTTTCGTGCATGAATGTCTTTTCAGTATTCGCGCGCGCGCGGCGTCCCCGCCACCAGGATTCCACTCATACATGCTGCGGTGCCCTAAGCGCCCTTGGTCTCGGCTGGTCGTCTTGGTCGCAGAGGTCGTGGTGGTGGTCCTGGTGGTCCTAGTGCTTCTGGTCGTCATGGTGGTCGTGGTGCTTCTTTCATCGTTTCGGGATCTGCCCTCTTTGATTTTTCACATTCTTTCATTCATGCCCTCAGCTTGTTCCTTCTACTCCTGCAGGGCAGTGGCGCGGGAAGCGGTGCGACTCTCAGAATGGCTAAAGCTAGGATGCCCATGGGGGTTCCAGGGTTGAGCCAAGTTCTGCATGTTTATCGGATTAACTAGGAGTCGGGTGCTTCAGTTTCGGGCTTTCAAGTTCTGCTGCCTTAAGTCACCGTCCTGCCGTCAATCTTCTTCTTGGTATGCATTTGTGGTTATACACACACGCAGAGAGGCTATGATCATGCAGGTGTCGTGCTTGGGGTCAATTGAAATTGCACAGAATGCTGCCAAAAAAAGCTTCAGCTCCGGCTGATTCATGCTACTGGGTACTGCCTTTCCGTGCATCCTCAGCATTGGTGAGGCTTGGGCGAAGCATGCCAAGGATCCGGGGATTCCGCATGACCAATTCACGGCTTGAGGTTATCTACAGGATTAGACTGCGTGATACACGAAGAGGACAGCCTCAACCCTGAAACCTAAAACGCATATCCCACATTTGCACCCAGGTCGCTTGCGATTTTCTCCGTACTGTCAGAGATCGCGATGTAAAATTGGTTGCGAGTTCAGGATTTCAGGGTTGAGGGCTTTTGATTGATGCAGTTTTCTCGCCCCTCTTTCAGGGTCTCGCGCCTCTATGGCCCTGGAGTAGGGCAGGGCTTTTGACTCTTCTGGGCCTCGGCGCAGTGAGCCTTGAGACTGCAAATCAGAGTCGAAGGTACAAATAAACGTCAGCTTAACAGGGTCTGCGGCAGACAGCGCACCCTTGAACCCCACACATGGTCCTAAGCCTTGTATGGACGGTTTGGCGTGGGATGGGCGATCCGTTGAAATTTCCAGCCCTCAATACTCCAACCCGTGCTCCTTTTCCTTTAGGGTTTAGGGAAGTCGCACGCCTCGGCCTCGGTACGGGTTCAAAAACAAGCAACAGGGAAGAATACCAAGGCCTTCAAACCCCCAAGCGCGAAATCCTTCACAGAGAAGCAGAAAGCCACCGGGCCGCGGCAGGAGCCCGAACCACCAGAGCTGACAACGGCCTCTGGGTTCATCTTGAGTTGCTTAGGGCTTGCTTCGTGCGTTGCGTGGGGCTGGACTTGGGGGTTTTGGGGTTTTGGGTTCAATCGATCCAGGGCCCAGGTGGGAGAGTTGGAGATTCCAGGGTTTTGGCTTCTGGGATTCTGGTTGAGGGCTTAGGCTGTGAAGATGATCTAGGGCCTAGGGGTCACGGTTGAGTTCGAGACTTGTGAAGTTCGGCTCCATACCCTAAAGAGGTAATCTGCAAGCCCTAGACCACGTAAGGGTTAGGCTTTGGCAAGAGCTCTTCGGGGCTTTATGAGTGTGGCTTTGAGGTTTCACCTCTAAGTCTAGGCTTGCGGGATGCGTCTCGTGTCGTCTTTTGCATAGTTTTTGAGCCCCAAGCCCCAACTTTCCAATTCTATAAACCCTGGCAGCAGGGCCACTTCAAGGCTTTCGGGGCTGAGAACTTGGCTGCGGCTTGCGACGGAAACCCCAGCGAGAGGCTGAAAACCCCTTAAGATCGACGTTCGATGTTTTTTTCTCGAGTCTCTAGAGTTTAGAGCTCTCCAAATCTCAGACCCTTCTTAATCCTAAACTCTCTAGGCCCTACAAAGCCCACAGCGCGAGTCATCAGAAGAGATCAGGCGCAAGCACGCAATGCCAGACGCGCCCGGCGTCGAGCAGCCAAGCGGGTGCAGGCCGGCATGGGGAGCTCGTGGCGTCTTTCCTTCCGGTTTAAGAGAGCACAAGCAGCATGAGTAAGAGAGAGCGAGAGACCGTGAGAGACAGTGAGAGAGAGAGATTGTGTTGAATGGAGAATGAGAATTGGCAAGCCTTGAACTTCGCAGTCTAGTATCGCAAGCCCTTATGGATCATAGGCATCATAGTTAACAAACCCTGAGCCCCAAAATGTGAATGAAGGAAGCACCCGGCAGCTGATTTCGTTATCCTCGACATCCTGAAGCCCCAAAATTTGAGCCTCTACCCTGATTGATGACCTAATAATCCCCTAGAGGTTGGGATGTTTCGGGCTTAGGATCTAGCTTGTGTCGTTGCAGCGCAGAGTCTTAGACGGTGACACTTGTCCAGATTTTGGGCTTGATCCCTTAATGGAACCTAGCAGTCTGACTTGAAGCTACTGGGTTTTATGGTTTACTGCTTGGCGCCTGGCTTTCGAGCTTAGGCTTCCGGGTTGAGTATTTTGTTGGGCGGGCTCGGGGCTTAATTAGTTGGTTCAAGTGCTTCACCGTCATAACCCTGCACCTATCCGGACAACACCAGGATGACGATGAGTTCGAGCAGGCCAGTCGAACTGTTAGGGGTGTTGCCGAAGGTTCCCGGAGTAAGGGTCGGAGCCGCTACATGTTTGCGCCTTGGGAATGTTGATTCTGCAAAGGAGCCGCTGCTTTTCGGAGTGAAATGCTAAAGCTGAAAACATCGCGTGGTCGAAGCTCGCCCAGCATCTTAGGGCTGTGCGTGCAGCCTGTGAATCTAGTGTCGTGTTGCCGCTTAACCTTCGGGTTGCAGGTCTTCACTACTTTGCAGCCCATGCCATGCAAGGCCGCCAGATAATCTACGCTCGGTTTCGTTTCAGGGGACTTCGAATCCGTATAGTATACCTCGTCGGTCATCCATCCGGAAGCACTTCCTGTGTGGAACCTGCACAGCTTACCGGAAACCGGGACACTCGCCGATAGTAAACCGTGCGAAGTCCGCGCCCAGAACTAGCCGCACTAGCCGATCTGCCCCAAATCGACTGGCACAGGTGCAAGAAGCTGAGTTCGACCACGCTTTCGAAGCCCAGAGTATCCGCAGCAGGGCTACAAGAGCCGGAGGGGTTGATTGCAATCATATAGGGTCCTGCATCTTCAGGGGTGTAGAACAGCTGGAAGAGGTTAGAAGAAGATTGAGGAGGCCTTCATGACTCTATGACTGTAACCCAGGCAGTCCTGGTGTAACCCTGCCTTCCGTGCTGTGTCCCCGGAGCATTCTAGACAGTCTGAGAGGCTGGTCGTGATCATGGAGGCCATGCTGTCATGTGTGGGCCTGAATAAGCTACATCGCTGTTTTCGCGATAAGACAATCGACCCCATAAATTTTGAGACTCCTAAATATATTCTGCCCTGTCGAGAGTGAGTGCTGAAAATATATTCTGACAACCTTCAACTCCAAACTTTACACCTCTGAAGCTGACAATGTGCGGCCGCTCAGGACAGCAGCCCTGCTCTGCAATCATAGAGGCATTGCCCCGTGGGGGTTTGAGGGTTGTGCCACGAAAAAGGTCAGTTACTATGGAAGTCACCGGGTGGAATCCACGTCGGGACTTCACTTGAAACCTTTCTTTGCTTGAGATTTTGTTGTGGATGCTCATATGCTCTTCTTAGATTTACCTGGAATGATTTGGAGTGGGGGTCAAGAGTGAAGAACATCGTATGCTTCCCACATCAGAGACCAAGTGTTGTGAGTACGAAGTGAGTTTTGTTGCGATACGTCGCCGACTGCAATGGCGCGGCATCAAGCCTCTTGGGTTTGATGTTGGGCTTGTGGCTTCTTCTAAACGGCACGATTGAGCCACGAGCCCGGAACAACACTAGACGAATCCGAGAGCTCGAAGATCAGAGCCGCGAACAGCCGGCAGAGACCAAGAATGACCATAATGCAGACATAGAAATACTTATTAGCACCAATGCTACTAGTAATGTTGCCCGAACACTTGGACCCCTTCACTCTGGATCCTGGCTGAGAAGATTCAGGTGCCTAGGAAAGCCTCCAAGTGCACAGGACGTGCAGGTTGGCGAGCTTCTGCCCAACCAGGCCTGGGAGTGTCCAGGTTTTGAATGAAGTTTCGCTGGGATATCTGATCGGGGGTGCAAAATCAGGGGTGCAGTGGTTCTGGGTTTATCTGAGATGATATGGGCCCTATAGACCTAGAGGGCTTAGAGGCTCATGTGCTTTTGGGCTTTGGGGTCTCGGACACACGAGTCCCAGATCTCTTGTTCCAAGAATCCCATGCCGCAGCTCTGCACAGCTTCGGTTGGGAGCGCAACCAAAGACGTTTAGCGCTACATCATGGAGGACTTGGGATGTGGGGGGCCGTCTATTTCAGGAACTATTGGGAATCATCGGCCTAGGCGTAGTCTGTGCTTCACGGCGACCAGGGTTGTGGGAGCATTGATAACTTTGATTAACTGTATAGTTTGTTTCGGAATCTGCATGGATTGGGGCCTTTTTTGCAACACTACCGTCAGCAGACTTGCGCACAGGAAGAAGAAGAAGCAGTAGTCTAATCCCTGCCCCTGCGGAGACGGTCCAGAAGGGCTTCAAGAAGGGCACGAGTCTTGCAAGTTCAGGTGCAATACCGGTACGGGAGCGCCCGACAGGAGAACATGTAATTCTACGAAAGACTACTGTAGCTGAAGGAATGGGCTTCTTCAAAGAAGTTTCTTCAGGGCGTTGAAAAGCTCGGCTACTTGCCCAGAGACTCCAATATCCCTTAATTAAGGAATATACCTTAAGTTATAGTAGGACCCCTTATATGATTTAAGGTATATTCCTTAATTAAGGGATATTGGAGTCTCTGGGTGCTCCAGGTGGAGGATCCACTCCCCAATCAGGCTGTGCCCGCGACTCGGCGGAACTGGGACTTAGCCCGAGCTTGATTCGAGCGGTGGTGCCTCCCTGAACCTCTAAAGTCACGACCTCCCAGGAGTTGTAGGATCATGTGGGAGTTTCCGAAAACAAGGGGTACCTTATTTTGGGATCCTTATAATAAGGACCCTATTATTTAGGGTGCTATATGAGGGTCCCCTATTTTCGGAAACCCCCATGTAATGACCCTTGCAACTCTACGTTCCCACGTCCCTGCGCCAGTGTTGAACTCAGTACTGCAGACACGAAGCCGCGGAGTCGGTGGAAGGGACAGATCGGATTGAGTGATGTAGGGATGTAGGGGCCTTGATAGTTAGAATAGGGTTTTGGGGCCCTTTATGTTCTATTCATAGTAAGGAACCTCCAAAATAGTATAGGTAATTATCTATGCTTCTAAATTGCTTGGGTGAGGGTGAGGGCTTGGGGATTCTTGGTCGAGGCTGGAGCAAAAACGAGTCGCGTGAGTCGCGTGAGCACACGGGTTCGCATACCATACAGTGGATGCGGTAGTCTTTGTCATAGTTGGGTAACATTTTACATTTTTAATGGTACTTAAACCCAATAATTAAGGAATACAAGTTTAAATTTTTAATACTACCCCAACCATGAACTAGTAGTCGCCTTGACGCCGTTTTGAGCGACAAATGCTCATGCCTCGACAGGATTCCCAGGACCAGGACTAGCGCAAGCGCCAAAAGCCTAAAAGCTCATAAGCCCCCGAAAGCCACAACAGAATTCAAGCCCCAAAATCATCCAAGAATGCTGCCATGAGTGGGACGGATGTTGTCGACTTCTCTCACGTTGCGGATTCGCTATCCGCTACGCACCGCTCCCTCCCCCCCCCCCTCCCCCCCCACCGCACCCCGCCCAAAGCAAGGGGCAGGGGTGAACCTCGCCAGGCTCATCCAAGAGCAGCCGCAAACTCGCCTAGTATAGAAGCCTAATTACCAATATTTTTCCTTCTAGAGCTCCTTATCTTATAGTGCTACTAAAAAGGAGCCCAAAACCCTAGTCTAGTTATTATTAAGGCCCCTACAGTAGGAAGGCCCAGAGCCCAAGTCCATGGCAAAGGAGAGCTGGGAGGACTTGGAGGATGTTGACGATGCGCAGGAGGGCCTCCCCTTGCCCGATACGCTGCTGGGCTTTGTTTTGGAGCTTTGCGATCTGGGTGAGAGTTTTAGGCTTTTAGGTGGGGCTTGGCTTGTGTTGTTTCTGCTTTTTTGCGCTGGGTGCTTAGGGTGCTGGACGTTGGGGTCTTAGGATCTGGAATTGTTGACGCGACCATGAAGTGCAGGACACAGTTTCAAGATTTCGACTTCGGATGTTTACTTGTTGGACTTCTTCGGTCGCATGTTGGACATCCCGAAGTTTCAGCTGCTGAAGGATAAGCCTTCGGTGCTTGGCATTGGTCGGTGTATGTCGCTATGTTGGTTGCTCTGTGTTCAAACAGAATCCGCCCCATCAGGCGAGAAGGGCTAAGGTGTGCATGTTTTGTGTCTTCTGTGGTTTCGACACGGATTGGGGTTTAGGACCAGGATCGTGTCCTTTCGCGCCTTGCTTTTACAACGTAAGCCACATTGGTTGCATGGCGAGGTGTGCTGAGACTCTGGGGTTGTGGCTTTAGAATGTTTAGAGCTTCGGGTTTTTTGATTATTTTATACCCTAAACCCTAAACATGGTATTCCGGACTCCTTATCAGGCGAAGGAAAAGAGGTGATAAAAAAAAAAAACTAAACCCTAAACCGATTATAGAGTGCAGAGCCAGCCCCTGGGTGGACTGTAGGAAGTACCTAATTCCCTCTCTTGAGAAGAGTTAGTTACAAGTTTACTATAAGGTTTGCATGGTATACATGTAAAGCTAATGCTTTATTGAACTTTAGACAAGCTTTGCTGTTGTCTCATGAAGACCTTGAGAGTCCAGCTTGCCGGCATACAACTAAAGCCCGGCCCGTGCTGAAAATATAGAGGGCTCCAGGCGGCTCCAGGTTCTACAAGGTTTGAAAAGGGGGTCCGGAAAAACGGGGGTTCCAGAGCGGCTTAGGATGTTAAGGTTCCGGATCGGGTTAAAGGTGTTCTATTCCCAGCCCGTCGTGCTTATCCATTTTCTGGCTTGGGGATGCCCTCCCCGAGTTTCGTAGCACTTCGACCCAGTGTCAGAGGCTGCCTGTACAACGACTTAGCCATAACAGCCATAGTCACGCCCATGTAAACCGGTATTCATGAAAAAAGTGGATTGATGGCTTAAAGTTCAGGCTATGCCAGTTGGCACGAGAAGTGTGGGGTCTAAGCAGTGGTGGGGGGGTTTTCGAAGCCCCAAGCCTGAGATACGCAAAGCCCTTCAAACCTGTCAGCCGTCGACACCAAGTAATTCAATCCAAAGCATCGAGCAGAAAGCTTTGTTCAAGAGCCTCTTTACATCCTGAGCCCTACAGCGCACATCACTTCTCAAAACCTCCATCCGTGTCAACCCAAGAAGCGTGAAGACCGAGGCTGTTGGCCATGTGCTGCGGTAGTTACCACGACGAAAGCTGTGGGCTCCACATCGACGAAGGGGCATTCGTGCGCACACGGCTGTTCATCTGCACTTCAAAGGTTTGGGGCTCCTATGATTTTGGACCGAGGCCTGGGTGTGCATAGATGGCTCTTAGAACAGGGCCGATGCCCAGTCATACGAAGTCGAACACTGGGCATACGAGCAATGAGCATATGACCCTATCACAGTATCCAATCCAGTTGTAGCAAACCTTTCGAAGTAATGGCGCAGGCGAGGCGACATGTCGTGGGCTGCAAAACGGTTAGAGAAGGTTGCCATCAGATTGTCGACTTTGCTTGGGACATACGATTTCGATTTTTGTGAATGGTAGCACGTTGCCAATACATTTTGCGCCCTGCAATCCACAACTCTACCTCGGTCTCGCAAAACTTCCCAACGCGTGTATGCTGTGCAGACGTCACACACGCAATATATATATATATGTATATATATATATATACAGTCATATACACACATACAGCACACATACATACGCACATAGGCAAATACATAAATGGGTACATAGACACATACATGACATAAACTAATGTAGACATGACTTGGCAAAAGTAACGAAGCACATATATGCATGCATGCATGCAT